AGTCATCTCTGTAGACAATGTTATACCCTTGGTCAGGAGAGGTCCTCCTTTCCATCTCACCATATGATAGGAACTCAAAATAAGGCATTCTTGTTCACTAGTTCCAGCCTTTGGCATTTGCTGCCAAGGAAAAGCAACCCAACCTAATTTCTGAATACTTTTTGTGGATTAGGAAAACTATTTCTATTAAACCAGGCCTGTGGCCTTCTAAGAGGACGTGGAAGCCCAAAAGTAATGGCCATTGTAACTATGCCATAGTTTCGCTTCATAGCTTTATTGCTAGGCTTTACTTATGTTTCTATATTTTTATTGCTATTTTGCATTTTATTTTGTGTTTCATATCTTTGGCTGCCTTATTTTCATAAAAAAGTAAAATGCATGTATTGCACATAAAAGTTTTACAGACAACAGAGCAGCCCTATGCCAGAGATTTACAGAAGCTTAAGCTTTTGAAAGCAGGAAAGACAGTGGAACAGTTAACTGACATGGCCCTATACAAGAAATAGCCCTGTGCAGCCCAATAAGCGCAAGACTCTGAGGAATACTAGAAGTATTGGAGAGGAGACCAAATAGTATCCCTGGCTGTAAATGTGCTGACATCAGAAGAACTAACTTGCTAAACTCTCAACATATCAAAGGAACACTAAAATATGGAACATGACACAGGGTCAAGGGTATGGTTAACTAATTATCCTTTGGGAGAGGAAAAACAATTCATCTGTTTAAATTTCCCTGGGGATTTCCCAGAACTTGAATCATTATTATTTAAAATAAATTCATGCATTACTCATTAGCTTGCTGCAGTTAGCTTTTCGTTATCTAGTGCTTCTGCTTCAAAGATTATTCACTGTATTACAACAGCTTGCTTTGTCTCCTTGCCAGTACACCAGAAAATTGCAGGCAAACTATCTGTTTCTCTGTACAATAGCAGCCAATCTTGATATTCTACCTTGCAAGTACAAAAGACTTAAATGATTATTAGTCAGAAGCCTGAAAAATTGGTTAAAAGGGGGTCCCTAAAAACACCCTAAAATGCTGCTTAAAAGTAACTGTTGAAAGTAACTGGAAAAATTTTAAACTATACTAAAAAGGTAACATTGCAACTACTTATCAACATTACCTTTCAAATTTAGTTTGGTTACAGATTTGTTAGCTAAAAAACGACACTAGCTATAAGGAACTGTGCAAGTTGCTTTCAAGCTCTGGGCTTTCCTGAGTGGTATGTTCAGCGCAGAGATGCAGTGGCTGGGACAGGTAGGTATTTATTGTCCTTTGCCAACTAGGCCATATGATGCCACAAGCCCATCACTCTGAACAATAGGGTAGCCAGACAACAAAATTGTATAGATCATCAGCAGCCATAACTGAAGGAAGTAGGAAACTGTGTACCTGGTGATGCACCTGAGAAACATGATAACTTATTAAAATATGTTTATGGGGGGATACAGTGGTGCTTCGCTTGACGATGTTAATTCGTAGAGCGAAATCGTCAAGCGAAATAAAAAACCAATTGAAACGCATTGAAAACAGTTCAATGCATTCCGATGGGCGAAATACCTGCTCGTCCAGCGAAGATCCTCCATATGACGGCCATTTTCTGGTGCCTGTAATGCAAGGAATCTGTCCCTAACACAGCGGGGAGCCATTTTCTACAGCCGGCAGCCATTTTGAAACCCGAC